TGTACGGTCTTTCGCAACGAGCAAAATGCCACATTAGTTTCTGAATAGCAAACTTGCGCGGCTGTACAGAGGATTCTTACTCTGCGGTATCGACGGTTCGTGTTGTTTGTGGAAGACAGTGTCCACTCCGGTTTTCACCCAGCTAGAGTGTTGAGTGGCCGTGGCGTCAGCCCGTCGTCAAGCAGGCAACCTTCCACTCGCTTCAGCGGGATCCTGCCGCCTCAGCCTCCTGAGCTGGCTGGGAGCTACAGCATGCGGCCACACGACCCTGGGCTCACTGTTTTTCTCGTCTATATTTTGAGTTGGCAGATTAATTTCTTTCTGTTTTTAATAGAGACGAGGTCTCGCTCTTGCTCACGCTGGTTTCAAACTCCCTGACCTCGAGCGATCCTCCCGCCTCGGCCTCCCAGAGTGCTGGGATGACAGGCGTTGAGCCACCCGCGCCCGCCTGTGCTCGGGCGGGCCAGGCGGCCAGCACCAATGTCCTCAGGGTAAATAGGAACGCGCCCCCAAAATACTACATTGTCCCCAAGGAGGCCGTCACTGGGCAGGGACACGCCAGTGGACCCCTCCCGCCTGGGGAGAGAGCAGCGGTCACGCACAGGCACCGTGCGACTGGGGTAGGAGCCACATGCCACCAAAGCCGGGACTTCTAGCCTCTGCTGAGACAACGAGGCAGGGCTGGGGTTAAAAAGCAAGGGCAGATGGGAGACCCCGCTGCCGAGGTGGAGGCCCGGGGTGGAGGCCGGCCTCTCCACACTCACCTTTCTCTTTCTGGCCGCCTTGCTCGAGCTGTCCCCGCTCCTCTTCTCGGGATCGGGCTTCCTCCCTGCGGGTGGCGGCTGCCCGTCCCCCTGCTGCTGCGGGGGCTTCCTCTGGCGGCTGCTCCCTGTCCCCTGGGGCGGCGGGGGGACCCTGGAGAGGAGGCCCAGGCTGATCCTCACCACCAGGCTGGGCGGCGGGGCGGGACTGTTCCCGAGCGGGGAGAGCGACCGGGGGTCTCTGGGGGGCGGCGGGAGTCTGTCTCTGCGGCCGTCGTCCCGGGCGACCGAAGCGGGGTGGCCGCCACTAGTCCTGGGGCCACTGCCCTGGCTGGGAGTCTCGGGGACCGCGGTGGCCGGGCCGGGGCTCCTGTCGCCCACGCTGCCCTTGGTGGCCTCCGGGACGGAGAGTGCCTTGGCCGAGGAGGACGGTGACGGGGCCGGGAGGGAGCCCTTGTGCTTCTTCCTGTCGCCGGGGCCAGGTGTCCCCGAGGTGGCGGCCCGGGGCCGGCCTTTCGTCTTGACCTTGGGCTTGTCCTTGGGCGCCTGCTGCTCCCTGGTGGCCCCGCAGGGTGGCGGGCCCGGCTCGCTCTCCACCTGCAGCCCGGCCACCGGGCCGGGGACCTTGCCCGGCCTCCTGGGCTGCTTGGTGCCCACCGTCTGCCTCTGCGGGGGCTCCTGCCGCGCCGGAGACTTCTGGAAGCTTCTCTTCCCTGCCTGGGGGCCTTCCGGGGGGACGCGGGCCGCTTTGCCGGAGCTTCTGGGGGGCGGGTCTTTGGACTCGGCACGCTCCTGGCTCGAGGAGCCACTGTCACCACTGTCCTTGTTGTCCTGGCGTCGCCGGGCGGGCTCAGGGACTGCCGGGACCTCGGGGGCCGCGGCCGGCGGGCCCACTTTGGTCAGCCAGTTGTCCAGCTGCCATTTGTTGGTCGCCGGAGGCTCGGGCTGCAAACAGGGAAACAGGGGACAGAGTTAACCCACCGATGACGCACAGGCCTGGCCCGGACTCCCTGCGAGCCCGGGAAAACTTGGGTCCCTCTTGTCACCCTCAAAGTGAAAGTCAAATGTCATAACGACGGCCCAGCGGCGCAGTAGCTCACGCCTGTCACCCTGGTGCTCTGGGAGGCCAAGGAGGGAGGATCGTTTGAGGTCAGGAGTTCGAGACCAGCCTGAGCAAGAGCGAGACCCCGTCTCCATAAAAATTGAAGCAAAAAATTAGTGGACGACTAAAGAGCAATAGAAATAAACGAGCGGCGTGGTGTTCGCCCGCCATGCTGTGTCGCTAGGCTACTCGGGAGGAGGCTGAGGCAGGAGATCGGCGTTGAGGCCAAGAGTTGGAAGGCGACGCCATGCGGATTCACTGCTAGCATGGGCAAACAGAAGACTCGTGTCTTCAGGGAAAATAAATAAAAACAAAAGTGCACATTGTTCCTTGGTAAAAGTATAACATAGCTCTTCCCCCCGTCACCCCCCACAAACAGGCACGTACTGAGGTGCATTTGAGGCCCCTCCCTGGAGAGACGTCGCCTGGGTCTCCAGAAATAAAAACATTGTCTTCCACTGTGGCCCTACAAAATGCCCAGAAGGGGAGACTGATGGCCCTATTTGCAGGGCAGAAAACTGCGAGTTGTTGTCCGGGAAGGAGGGCATCTTTTATATATACCCATAAGAGTCAGTAGCAGGCTGGGCCAGATGGGCTCAGCTCTGTACATCTAGCACTCTGGAGGGCCGGAGGGATAGCTCAAAGTCAGGACGTTCGAGACCAGCGCTGAAGCAAGAGCGAGACCCGTTTCCACGCTAAAATAGAAAAAGTTAATTGACAACAAACTATTAAAAATTTATAAAAATTAAGAAGCTGTAAAACGGGATAAATTCCTTAAGTGTCAGATGTGATTTGGGTGTTGGAGACGGGGAATATTTGTATAGGGGCTGATCGAAGATAGGCTTAAAATAAATTCTGTAGGTAGATAAAAGCCAGACAGTGGACCAGGTTTTGGACTTTTTCATTTCTCCTCCGCCTTTCCTCCCCCCAGTTGCAGTGTAGCCCAAACACTACAAACTGCAGGTAGGAAAACAGCACCGATTCATTTCTTATTTGGAAGTATGTTTAAACAATATGTTTGGCTCTATTATGCCTTTTTGCCCTCTAACCTCTTGGAAATTGGCAAAAGTTGCAATTTTTAGATTGTGGTCCTGAATAAGAAGTCTTCAGTTACGCACCCAAACATGCTACCTCTTTTAGAGAAAAAACAAGAAGTTGGCCAGCCTTTTTTTTTCTTTTTAAATGCCACCTTTTTACTAAACTAACAGCTGTGCAAATTTTTTTAAAAAACGCAATGTTCCAAGATGGAATAAAGAGGGAGAAAGTTAAAACTAGTATCTATGGCTCATTATGGAGTTCGTGTTACCCTCCACATAGGGGATTTATAATAAATGTAGGTGTAGGTAGAGCAGGTATTTAAAAAATTGGGACAGTTAGGGGGACAAAAAACCAGGTTGCAGAGTTAAAGGGCTAAGGATTTGAAATGTAGTGCCCCTCGCTTCTTTACAGACAGAAAGAGAGCTACCAAACTTCAGGGCAGGTGGAGGTCCAACCACACAATTTACGAAAAAGGCCAGCACCAGGCGATGGGCGCAGGGTGACTCACGATTGAAGGACTGCCCGGTAAACAGAGAACTGTGCAGATTCCTGCAAAATCAAGAAGGGACTCGTGTTTTCCTAAACTGAAGGGGCAAAAGGGCAGCGTGTCCACATATTTTGAAAAACTGAGAGTCACGTGGCCGAGCGGGCGCTGAAATGGAATCTACCGCGGCTGGGGGCCAAGTGCAGCCCGAGCTAGCTGGCATGCACGGCACGTTCCAGACCCGAGAGCCCGGGGCAGCATCAGGTGCGATGAACTGAAGCGAAGCCGTGAGCAGCAAATTTCACAGCAATTAAAAATCGAAGGAGGGGATGAGAAAGCTAAAACTAGTATCTATGGCCGATTATGAAGATCATGTTACTTTCTTCATCATCTTCTTTTTTTAAGACAGAGTCTTGCGCCCTGTTGGCTCTGCTGTGGTGTCAGCCTCGCTCACAGCAGCCTCAAATTCCTGGGCTCAAGCCATCCTCCTGCCTCAGCCTCCCGAGTAGCTGGGACTACAGGTGCACACCAACATGCCTGGCTAATTTTTTGTTTCTGTTTTCGGTTGGCCAGGTAACTTTTTCTATTTTTAGTACAGATGGGCTCAGACTGGTCTCAAACTTCTGAGCTCAAGCGATCCTCCCGCCTCAGCCTCCCTGAATGCTAGGATTACAGCCATGAGCCACCGTGCCCGGCCTATGTTACTTTCAACTAACACAGGGGATTTATAGTAACACAGGTTTATTTATTTTAAAAGGAAAGAAAAGTAGTTAAAGATCTTAGGGAAAAATAAAGGTTTTAAAATCTAAACAAAGATAAAACATTCCCAGGAAGATGAACCTCAACACATACATAATAAGATAAAGCAGGATGGGAGCTTTTTTTTGGGGGGGGGTGTGGGGGATGGGGGGAGACGGGCTGCTCTGTTTCCCAGGCCCAGGGTAGAGTGCAGTGACGTCATCATAGCCCACTGCAGCCTCAAATGTCTGGACTCAAGTGATCCTCCTGCCTCAGCCTCCCAGATAGCGGGGACCACAGTTGTGCACCACCATGCCCAGTTGATTTTTCTTTTCCTTTTTTTAAAATATGGATAAGGTCTCACTATGGTGCTCAGGGTGGTCTTGAACCCCTGGCCTCAAGTGATCCTCCCACCTTAGCCTCCCAAAGTGCTAGGATTACGGCCATGAGCCACCGTGCCCGTCCGGAAGCTTTTAAATTTAGACTTAAGAGGTCTCAATCTAGTCTAGTAACTCCCTGAGCAGTAAAATGTGACTATATCTCATTTCTACAAACACATGGTTAAATTTTCTTTTCCAAGTTTCGCCTCTTCAGCTAAACCTGTAGCATTTCCATTTTATTTGAATTCTGTTACTTAATCATCTCCTTTATACCAATGATCTAACAAGCAAGCAGGTTTCCCTTATTGAATAAGGTGAAACAGAGCAACGATCTCACGAATACCGACAGTGAGACTATCACACGACTTACGTGCGTGGCTCCTTTTCCCCCATGGCATAGAGAAAAGCTATTTCGACAGTAGTCAGCGTCATACCGGAAAAGAAAGAGTGCCAGAAACACAGCGGCCGCACAAATGTGCAAGGCCCTCCAAGCGCAGCGAATGCCGACCCTCCGTGCATTCACGCCAAAAACCACTGAGCACTGAGCCCGGGCCAGACGCGGAGTCACACCTAACAGAGAGTGACAGCCGGCTACTTTCTCAGCCTCTGCTGCCCTCAGACAAGGGCCTTAATATGCCCACAGCATGAGCTCCAGAATATTCCATTACTGCTCCAGTGCAACCGCTTTGCTTTCTAAAGATAGTCACATTTTACTGCTCAGGGAGTTACTAGACTAGATTGAGACCTCTTAAGTCAATTTAAAAGCTTCCGGACGGGCACGGTGGCTCATGGCCGTAATCCTAGCACTTGGGAGGCTAAGGGGGAGGATCACTTGAGGCCAGGGGTTCAAGACCACCTGAGCACCATAGTGAGACCTTATCTGTATTAAAAAAAAAAATAGGAAATCAGCTGGCGTGATGGTGCACAACTGAAGTCCCGCTATCTGGGAGGCTGAGGCAGGAGGATCTCTTGAGTCCAGGCATTTGAGGCTGCAGTGGGCTATGATGACGTCACTGCACTCTACCCTGGGCCTGGGACAGAGCAGCCCTCTCCCCCATCCCCCACACCCCACCCAAAAAAGTTCCCATCCTGCTTTATCTTATTATTGTGTTGAGAGTTCATCTTCCTGGGAATGTTTATCTTTGTTTAGATTTTAAAACCTTTATTTTTCCTAAGATCTTTAACTACTTTCTTTCCTTTAAAATAAATAACCTGTGTTTATATAAATCCCCTGTTGTAGTTGAAAGTAACACAGGCCGGGCACGGTGGCTCACGGCTGTAATCCTAGCACTCAGGGAGGCTGAGGCGGGAGGATCGCTTGAGCTCAAAGTTTGAGACCAGTCTGAGCCCTCTGTACTAAAAATAGAAAAAGTTACCTGGCCAACCGAAAACAGAAACAAAAATTAGCCAGCATGTTGGTGTGCACCTGTAGTCCAGCTACTCGGGAGGCTGAGCAGGAGGATGGCTTGACCCAGGAATTTGAGGCTGCTGTGAGCGAGGCTGACACCACAGCAGAGAACAGGGCGCAAGACTCTGTCTAAAAAAAGAAGAAGATGAAGAAAGTAACATGATCTTTCATAATCGGCCATAGATACTAGTTTTAGCTTCTCATCCCTCTTCGATTTTTAATTGCTGCGAAATTGCTGCTCACGCTTCGCTTCAGTTCATCGCACCTGATGCGCCCGGGCTCTCGGGTCTGGAACGTGCCGTGCATGCCAGCTAGCTCGGCTGCACTCGGACCCCAGCCGCGGTAGATTCATTTCAGCGCCCGCTGGCCACGTGACTCTCAGTTTTCAAAATATGTGACACGCTGCTTTTGCCCCTTCAGTTTAGGAAAACACAGTCCTCTGATTTTGCAGGAATCCGCACAGTTCTCTGTTTACCGGGCAGTCCTTCAATCGTGAGTCACCCGCGCCCATCGCCTGTGCTGGCTTTTCGTAAATTGTGTGGTTGACCTCCACTACCCTGAAGTTTGGTAGCTCTCCTTTCTGTCTGTAAAGAAGCGAGGGCACTACATTCAAATCCTTAGCCCTTTACTCTGCAACTGTTTTTTTCCCCCTAACTGTCCAATTTTATAATACCTGCTCTACCTACACCTACACATTTATTATAATCCCTATGTGGAGGTAACACGAACTCCATAATGACCATAGATACTAGTTTTTAACTTTCTCCCTCTTTATTCCATCTTGAACATTGTTTTAAAAAAATTTGCACAGCTGTTTAGTTTTAGTAAAAAGGAGGCATTTAAAAAAGAAAAAAAAAGGTGGCCAATTCTGTTTTTCTTAAAAAAGGAGCATGTTTTGGGTGCGTAACTGAAGACTTCTTATTCAGGACCACAATTCTAAAAATTGCTAACTTTTGCCAATTTAAGAGTTTAGAGGCAAAAAGGCATATAGGCAAACATTTGTTAAAATACTTCATAAGAAATAATCGTGCTGTTTTCCTACCTGCAGTTTGTAGTGTTTGGGTAACTGGCACTGGGGGGAGGAAAGGCGGAGGGAGAATGAAAAGTCCAAACCTGGATCCTGTCTGGCTTTTATCTACTCAGAATTTATTTTAAGCTCTATCTTGAATCAGTCCCCTTACAAATATTTCCCCGTCTCAACACCCAATCACATCTGACCTTAAAGGAATTTATCCTTTTACAGCTCTTAATTATAAATTTTTATATTTTTAGTTGCAATTAACTTTTTTATTTTAGTGGAAACGGGTCTCGCTCTTGCTTCAGGCTGGTCTCGAACTCCTGACTTTGAGTGATCCTCCGTCTCGCTCCCAGAGTGCTAGGATTACAGGCGTGAGCACTGCCAGCCTGGCTATGACTTCTTATTGGGTATATAAAAAGGATGCCCTTTCCGGCACAACAACTCAGTTTTTGCCCTGAAATAGGGCCATCAGTCTCCCTTCTGGGCATTTTTAGGGCCACAGTGGAAGAGAATGTTTTATTTCTGAGACCAGGACGTTCCTCCAGGGAGGCCTAAATGCACCTCAGTACTGCCCGGTTTTGGGGCGGTAGGGGGGAAAGCTATGTTTATTTTGCCAGGAACAATGTGCATTTTGTTTTTATTATTTTCCTGAAGACAGAGTCTCTGTTGCCCATGCTAGAGTGAATGCCATGGTCAGCCTCTCACACTCTGGCCTCAAGCGATCCTCCTGCTCAGCTCTCTCCGGTGACTAGGACTAAGCATGGCACACCACGCCCGGCTCTTTATTTCTATATGTTTAGTCGTCAGCTAATTTCTTTCCAATTTTGTATGGAGACGGGGTCTCACTCTGCTCAGGACTGTCTCGAACTTCCTGATCAAATGATCCCCACCTCGACCTCCCAAGTGCCAGGATACAGGCGGACCACCGCAGCCGCCGGCCGTCGTTATGACATGTTGACTTCACTTTGAGGGTGACAAGAGGGACCAAATTTCCCGGGCTCACGGGAGTCCGGCCAGGCCGTTGCGTCATCGTGGGTTACTCGTCCGCTCCCTGTTTCCCTGTTTGCGCCCGAAGCCTCCGGCGACACACAAATGGCAGACTGACAACTGGCTGAACCAAGTGGGCCCGCCGGCCCGGCCCCACGAGTCCGGCAAAGTCCCGAGCCGCCCGGCGGACGCCAGGGAAACAAAGGACAGTGGTGAACGTGGCTTCCTCGAAGCCAGGAGCGTTGGGCGAGTCCAAAGGACCCCGCCCCAGAACTCCGCAAAGCGCCGTGTCCCCCGCGAAAGGCCCCCCAAGGCAGGGAAGAAAGAAAAAGCTCAAAAGTCTCCGCGGCGGCAGAAAGCCCCCGCAGAGGCAGACGGTGGTCACCAGCAGCCCAGGAAGGCCAGGGCCAGGTCCCCCGGCCCGTGGCCGGGCTTGAAGGGTTGGAAACGAGGCCCCCGGGCCCGCCACCCTGCCGGGGCCACCAGGGAAAAAGGCAGCAGGCGCCCAAGAACAAGCCCAAGGTCAGAACGAAAGGCGGCCCCCGGGGCTGCCACC